TGACTTACAAGGGACTTTATGATCCTCTTCCCAGGCTAGTTCAGTGGGAGGGTGATCTGCTTTGAGTTTAAAAAAAGAGGGAGATAGCTGTTACCTTTAGCCTGGAGTTGCTATGATGGGGCTAGATTGGGGTAGGGTTGAGGCCTGTCAGCAATTAGTAGCTTTTCCCTGAGGGGCTAGCTCCTGAGACACTCATAAAGCCCAGCCTGGAGCCATTCTCAGAATTTATGTCTACTGAGTTTCCAATTGTTTTTCTTTTACCCTCCTGCAGTTGGGTCTGCTGCCTGTGCTGCAGTGGGGTGGGGCAGCCTCTGGCTCTATTTACCCAGTGAAGAAAGTCACTCTTCCATGGGAAGAGCTCCCTTTGCCTGGTAAGGTAAAATTTCTCTGGGGCTGGAACTGAGCCCTGCAAGTCAGGTTCCTTTGACCTGTTGAGTGTGTCCTATTGTCTTCTTCCAAGGCCTGAGTTATGAGATAGCTGCACTGTCCTGGTTTTTGTCAGTATCAAAGATGGTGTTCTTATTCAGTGGTGGAGGAGGGGCTACCTTCCCACCACTAGTCCATGAGAAGGAGTGAGGATTTCTGGTGGGGTACTCCCAACTTTCCCTTGGTTTCCGGCCCATCCAAGGTCCGTGACTCTCTGTGGTAAGCCTGATGAATATTTCTGCTCCTTGTTAGTTCTTGCTGTAGAGTAGAATCCGCTTATACACTGCCTCTGTTGCCTTTGTTCTGGGTTCTCTCTGTTGATATTGCAGCCATGGCAGCAGCTACCACCACTGCCACCGACACTGCTGAGTGCTCAAATCTGTCTATTTAACCAATCTGTCTGAATTTTTCCTCTCTGGGCAAACTGTCTATACTATGATGCCACACTTGGTGTGATTCTCTAGTCTTGGACTTTTCACTGGAACACTAAAACTGGTTTCTGTTTTTTTATTGTGATAATACCATACAGAGGGGTTACAATTACATGGGCAAGATAATGAGTACATTTCTTATCAAGCATTGTTGCCTTCTCCTTTCAGAGTCAAAGCAGACACACTAATAAAACTGGTTTCTATGCAAGAGCTTGTTCAGTCCCCAGCTTCTCTGCCACCTTCCTCTGGACTCCAGTTATTTAAATTTTATTGTCATCAACTTTTGTACCAGTCCAGGGGCTTGAACTCAGGACCTGTCTACTGTCCCTGAGCTTTTATTTTTCTAAAGGCTAGCACTTTCCCACTTGAGCTATAACTCTTCTTCTGGCTTTTTGGTGCTTAATTGGAATAAGAGTCACATGGACTTTCCTGCCCAGACTGGCTTTGAACCATAATCCTCAGATGTCCTAACTAGCTAGGATTACAAACATGAAACACTAACATCCAGCTATTTTAATCAACTTTTTCCCACTTGAATTCAATCGTACAATCATATATACAGCATACTACATGTCACCAAAGAATCTTCAATCTAGTAAGTGAATTTCTGTGAAACAATTACTGTAAAGAACATTTTGCAAATAAAACACTCATATATACAGTACAAACAATAAATGCTTAAGGAAGTCAGACAAGAATGATAAACAGAACTAAATCCTTCAGAGATTTCCCAGCTATTGAACCTGACTTAAGCCTTGAAGCATGGAGGACTTGAAGTTATGGGAGAAGAGAGAAACAAAGGCATCCCTAGTGTGAAGGAACACTCTGACAGACTTTATAGGTCAGTGATATTGTACAGACTGAACAGTCTTGGAGCCATTAGAGTTCAGTGCCTTTATTCAACCAATGTATGTGACATGAGAAATACATGAAAGCTTAAGGGAGCCAAGAAGCCAAGACCACCCGTGAAGACAAGCATTTGAAATCCAAGAATAACTTATTTTGTGGCCAGAATTATCTGGGATTGAAATTTAGCTCACTGTGTATTTATTATATGAGCTTTGTCAAGTAATCTAAGTCTTCTGAGCTCATTTCCTCATCAGTGAAATGTGAATAACAAACTCTTATCATGTGCTGTGTTATGGGGAACTAAATGATACTATGTGTATGAAAGCATTCTGATATTATAAAGTTCTACACATGCATCAATTATTGTTAGCTGTTTTTACACAGAGAACAAAATGAAATTATGGAGTGTCCTAGAGTCAAGAAAAGCATACTGTGCTTATTTTTGTTTTGGAGCAGGGCAGTCCTGGTGCTTGAACTCAGAGATTGGGTGCCATCCCTAAGCTTTGCTTACTCAAAACTAGGTCTCTTACCACTTGAGCCACACAGTTGCACTTCTGCTTTTGTGTATGTGGCGTGTGTGTGTGTGTGTGTGTGTGTGTGTGTGTGTGTGTGTGAGTGTGTGTGTGTGTGTGTGTGTGTGTGTGTGTGTGTGTGTGCTTAATTGGAGGTAAGAGTCTCACAGTAATTCCTGCCTGGGATGACTTCAAACCATGATCCTCAAGTAGCTAGAATTACAGGATTGAGCTGTCAGCACCAGTTTACTGTGATTCCCAATGTAAGATGTGGGCAGCATGTCTATAGTAGTGAAACATAATGTAAAGCTCTACCACTTTGAGCCACAGCACCACTCCTGTTTTTCTGGTGGTTAATTAGAGATAAGAGTCTCATGAACTTTCCTGCCCAGGCTAGCTTTGAACTGTGATCTTCATCTCAGCCTCCAGAGTAGGGATTACAAGCTTGAACCACTGGTACCCACTGGCATCTATTTTTAAAGTAAATTATTTGTATGCATAAAAGCATCATAATGAGATTCTTTTGTACATATAATATACACTGATGACAAAATACTTCTTTAGAGTCTGACGGATGCCTTTTTAAAAACATATCCAGGTTGTAATCCTTGCCATGAGGAATCACATGACTGATGAGTTGGTAAGAATGTACCATCATCATCAGTTATGCTGGAGTAAGAAAAAAGTTTAAAAATCACATTAACTTAGTATTCCAAGTATGAGGTGAATGGTAGTAGTAGCAGTGGAGAAAAAGGTACAAAGTTAAAGACCTTAAGAGAGAAAATGAAAAACAAGATAGGAAAGATTTCTAAGTATTATTTATAAATATTTGACAAATATAATTATAGATGCTCAAAGTGTATAGTATGTTGATTTTTATACAAATACTTTGTAATTATTGTCACAAATTAACATATCCACCATCACCCATGGTATATGTGATACACACACACACACACACACACACACACACACACACACACACAATGTATTTTACTCATCCATCAGGAAGAAGAATATTTTGTCATTTTCAATAAGGGAAATATATAGGTCTGGAAAAAATTATGTTAAGTGAAGTTTAAGCAAAGTAAGTCAGGCTCAGACAGAAAAAGGCACATATTTTCTTTCATATGTGGAAGTTAGTTCTAAATTATAAATATATATGAAAACAGATATGGTATCATATGCATATATACATAAACATATTGAATAAAATATGGTATAAATAATTACAATGCTAAAACTCCTTCAAACAACTAACATAGTTTAACAAGAAACTGAAATATGTTGTCAAGAGTATGGGATGTCCACACAGGAAGAAGGAAGAATGGACAAATGGAGAGTTGAAAGGTAGATGAATAAGGTTATACTATTCAATGTACAAATGTGAAAATGAATCCAGGTAACTTGACAGGATACATAGGGTTGGGAGAGATGAGGGAGATTGATGAAAGTGGTAAAACTGTTCAAGATGAATTGTACTTATAAATTGACTTGCTGAATTAAAATCCCTTTATAAGCTAAACAAAAATAATAAAATTGTTTTTGTACTTTCAGAGTTAAAATATATCCCATAACATTTTCATTTTATATGTGAAAGTGTCATTTGACTAACCTCTCTGCATACAAACTTCACAAGACTTTATGGTTGAGGCAAATGACCCAGTAACAACCAAAAGAAGAATTGGAGCCTAGTTCTATTTGACAGCAAGCTTAGGTTTAATCCACTTATCAGACATGAAAGAAAATGGAGGGTGACATACAATAATTGTAAGAGATTTGTATGGCTGAAAGTTTGACAAAACAGAAGAAAATAAGTATAGTTGTTCACATCTGTAATCTCAGCTGCTCTAGAGAGAGAGGAGGAGGACTGATATCTAAGGCCAGTCCAGGCAATAGTGTGAGGCTTTATGTGAAAAATAAAATAAAAGTGAAAGGGCTGAGTGCATGGTTCAAATAATAGACCATCTAAGTAGCAAATGTGAAACTTTGAGTTCAATCCCCAATGCTATAAAAAAAATCAGCAAGTTGATCAAGTCAATAGAAGAGAATAGAGAGAAGTTAGGAATTACATGTCATCATGATCTTAGTAGTTCAAATCAGTTGATTTTTAAATGCCTGGCAGTATTCTCAGCGTTTTCCTCTCAATCACTTTCTGATTTCTTCTGTGATGCACGAAACACACCTGTACCCTTTTAATCCCCTTCAGTAGCACTTACCATTGATTTCTTAGTAACAAGATTGACTCTGTAAGTCAGTAACTAAGTTGTGCTAAACCTTTCTTAACTGAGGGGGTACATTGGGAGTAAAAATTAGGGATAAAAATGTCATCTTGAAACCTTGAAAATCTACCTTATACACAGCAAATAAAACTATCCATTCAAAAATTAATGCATTAAATGCAAAATATCTGACCACTCTGATCTGAATGAGTCTCTTATCTCAAAATCCATATGTAGAAATCCTAACCCCCAAAATAATAGAACTAGAAAGTGAAGGTCTTTGAGAGGCGATTAGGTTATGATTATGGGACCATCACCAATGAGATCAGTGTCCTTATAAAAGAGAATCTAGACATCTCCCTTACCTTTTCTGCCATATGAGATTATGGCAAGGATTGCAGCCTGGGATCAAACCCTTAATAGTCACTAAATCTGTTGGCATATTAATTTTAAACTTCTTATACTCCAGAAAATACCAAGAAATGCATTGCTATTGTTTATAGGTTACTCCACTTATGGTATTTTCATTATAGAAGCCCAAATGGCCCAACACTGAATATTTTGTGCTCACTTCGGCAAAATGTATAATTAAAGGAACGATACAGAGAAGATTAGCATGGCACCTACATGACATGCAAATTTGTGAAGTATTCCATATTTTTCAACAAATCAAAGAAAGGTTGTACAAATGGGATTGCATGAAGCTGCAGAGTTTCTGTATGGCAAAGGACATAGCTAGCAGCAAGATCAATAGAAAGCCCACAGATTGGGAGAAGAGCTTCACTAGCCATACAATGGACAAGGGTCTTATATGTAAAATATACTTGGAACTCAAAAAATTTAATCCCCCAACAACAAATCCTCAAAGAAACAACTATCCAATAAATAAGCGGGCTAAAGACTTAAAGAGAAACTTCTCTGAAGAGGAAAGAAGGATGGCCAATACACACATGAAGAAATGTTCAACCTTTCTAGCCATAAAAGAAATGCAAATCAAAACAACATTGAGATTCACCCCAGTTAGAATCAAGAACTCTAATGCTGGAGGGGATGTGGCCAGAAGGGAACCCTACTGCATTGTTGGTGGGAGTGTAAACTTGTTCAACCACTTTGAAAAGCAGTATGAAGGTTCCTCAAAAGACTCTACGTAGAGCTCCCCTATGACCCAGCAATCCAACTTTGGGGCATTTACCCAAGCGATCACAAAAAAAGGCCATACTAAGGCTACCAGCACAACTATGTTTCTATGTTTATTGCAGCATTATTTGCCATAGCTATGATATGGAAACAGTTCTATGACTCCATCAGAAAGAATGACACTGCCCCACTTGTTAGGAAATGGAAAGCCTTGGAAAAAATTATATTAAGTGAAGTAAGCCAAGCCCAAGGAAACATAGGTCCCATGGTTTCCCTTATTTGCAATAACTAGTACATGTGTAGGACAAGTAGAAAAGGTCAAAAGCTATGTATATTGACCATAGAAGATGATGTTAAGCGAAATGAACCCCAAAATAGGGATACCTATTTTTTTGTTTCTTGCTATTATTTCTAACATATTTATAAAGTACTATGTGATTTTTTTGTTTCTTTATATGTGCCTCCCCCATGGTATAACCTGTTTTCATATATATGATGTTGGTGCCCTGCATCTTGTGTATATATATATATTTTTTTTTCTCTAATTTAGGGAGTGGAAGGGGGGAAAGGCTTAAATAGGGATACAGGTTGACCCATTGTAACAATGAGATGTACAAGTCACTATGTTGAAAACGAACTTTACAACTTTGGAAGGGGAGAGGGGGTAGTTGTGGAGGTGGGAGGGAAGGATGGTAGAGGAAAAACAAAGGAGGAGGCAACAATGCTCAATAGGAAATATACTCATTACCTTGCTCATGTAACTGTAACCCCTCTGTACAGTATTTTTACAATAAAAATGTACAAAAAATGCACATAATTTTTAAGTACATTCCTCTTGATTTTCTTTGATTGTGGGTCAAGCTGAGAAAAAGGCATAGAAAACATTTTGTTTTATTGTCTATGATTCTTTAAATTTTATTGTTGCTATTGTTTCATTTTTCACCCTGGAATTTCTAAAGCCAGAAAAGAAAAGACCAAATTAAGATACAACTTATCCATTCGGACACAAGTAACCTGAATCACCAAAGCCAAATTAAAGAAAATGCTTAGGTAGATTTGCAAAGTAAGTGAACAAAAGCAAAAATAAGAGAAAACCTCCCCAAAATTCACATGCAAAGGATTGAAAGTCTTTGTTAATCACAATATTAATATAAGTCAAATTATGGTATTATTGATAAAAAGCCTAAAGAAGTCTTAGATTTATTCACTTTTTAAAAGTAATTGTTGCACGCCTACCATACATCAGGCACTAAGGAAGTTCATCATCAATAAATAATTTTAAAACAGAAATAACACTGACTTTAGTCATTCTTCTTTTGATTATTAACATGAATTGGCAATTCAAAAATGTCAGAGAAATAACTCCTCTTGCTGCCTGGGAAGATCACTCCATCAATCTCCCTCCCACCTTCAACCCTGAGTATAATTCCAGAATTTAAAGCTTTGTAACTGTAAAATAGATGCTTGAATAATTAGAGAAGTGCTTTTTAAACATTTTTTAACTGTGGCCATCAGTAATAAATCTAGTCAATTTTTTTATATTTTACAAAGATAAGCTGTTCTTTGGAGTATTAAGGAATTTAATGAAAAATCATCAGTACTGCCATAATTACAAATATCAGTCTACTTTTAATAAAAGATCTCACTTTTTGTTGATATCAATCATTTAATTTTTTTAATTTTTATTTATTTTTTATTGTGAAAATACTGTACAGAGGGGTTACAATTAGATGGGCAAGAAGAAATATAGTTAATTTCTTGATCTAATGTAAACACACACATTACACAGGCATTCTATTAAGATGCATACAGATAATAGGTAGATACATAGAGACACATATATACACTATTATCATCCAACTAAAATAAGAGTTTCATAAAGTAACATTGCCATTATCATGGGTGATGCACTGTAATATTTTCCATTCTATTTTGCTAAAAATTACAAGAAGCAAAAGGAAAAGGAGAAGATGGGATGTGTCTTTTCCTACTAAATTTATTTCAGGACTCATTAATAGGCTGTAGCCCACAGTGTGAAAAATACTGGGCTATAGTATAGTTACACCACTGGATGGAATGCAAGATGATAGAGTGATGTCAGCCTAGGCATTAGCCATGGGAATTTTCAAAGTAGAAAACTGCAGGACTGCATTTGTACAGTCTGCAACTGAATTGTTTTTCACCATATTATACATCCAATATCTTTTTCACTGTACCCAAGACTCTCGGGGGAAAAGTTGGTATTTTTGTTTTGTTTTATTTTGCTTTGTTTTTCTTTTTGCAGTCTACCTACAGCATTCTAACACCATTCTGGGCCAGAGTGACATGGCTAGCTTTTGAAGGAGAAGCAAAAATCTTAATTTGCTTGTCTTTGAGGGAAAATGTCTTTGAAATTTATTCAGTGCAGGAGCCAGGCAATGGGGAAAGAATTTATACTCTAATCCTCAAAGGAGTAGAACATGAATTGAATTAATGTTTCTTCAGGATATGAGATTCTCTTCTTATGAATAAAATCTTTTGAGATCAGGTAAGAAGTTGTAACCATTTTTCTCTTTTATTACTTGTTCTTATATGTTGCTTTGTATATTTGGTTTTATGCTGGCAGTGAGTGGTGACCAACCAAGCAATTTGATTATATACCATCTTCTTGGGTAGATTCTATTTAGCTGATACTTCCTCCAGTATGGACAGTAGTATTTATAATACTAGTTGTTTCAATCATGTAATTATTTCCTTTGACCACCTTACAGGTTCAAAGGCTCCCATATGTCTGTATCACCTCAGTCTATGGTTCTATGTCAAATGGACACTGAAAAGTCCAGCCCATTCTAAGTGTGTATTTTTATGAAATTTTGAGAAGTTTTACTTAATTCGGACAAAATGAAAAGTCAAATAGTTTAAAATGAATCAAAGTGAGAGACAGATAAAACCAACCAAGGATTTGATGAAACATAGACACAGTTACATAATTTGATTTGCTTGGTTTGGTTACTCATAAAAGTAAATGTTTCCATTTTATTTCCACTGGTGTAGTTTTCTTAAGTAACCTAACTTAGCTAGATTATCACTCCTTTCCACAACAGACAATTCAAAACACTTGTTTATGCTTGAGTGTCTTGTCCATTAGAGGAGTTTTTAGTGAATTAATAAGCAATGAGATTAACAGTGCTTTGATTTAAATAATTAGTTTACTTGATCTTCCTGTTGTTATGCCATAATAAATCTGATATTTGACCAAAGCAATTAGAATTTAATTAAATTGGGCAGTTAATTCAATCAAAGTTGAAATAAATATGGCACAGAGGTTAAATATTTTGACTGAATTCCTTTTATGTCTTAAAATTTACTGAGAGGATTCTCTGCATTAGTCAAGGTGCTTCAAAGAAATAATACCTATAGGAAAAGGGACAAACAGTCACGGAGACAGAGACAAAGTAGCTGGAATTATAGCCAGCAATCTGGGGACCCAGAGAGCCAGTGTGTAGTTTCAATTAGAGACTGAAGCCTGAGAATCAAGAAAATAGTGTAACTTCTGGTCTAAAGAACTGGCAGGCTCAAGGCCCAAAAAGAGCCCATGTTTCAGTCCAAATTCAAAGACCAAAAACAATGTCTTATCTCATCATCAAGCGAAAGGTGTTCACTCTTACTGAACCTTTTTGTCTTATCCTAGTTTTTAATTGATAGATGAAACTGACTCACACTAGAGAGGGCAATTTGCTTCATGCAGTCTACAAATTCAAATGCTTATTTCTTCCAGACACATCCTCACAGATATAACCAGAATCACATTTGACCAAATATCTGAGGACTACATGGGCAAGCTAAGTTTACACATAGAAGGAATCATTACTCTGCCTGATCATTTTTCTGCTGACTTTTAAGGTAATCCAATGGTATTGGTTCTTGGAGGTCATAATATACATATGAAGTGGCTTACTTTTTTTGCTGTAGTCTGTAGAAGTCTAAGTGTTATATTATATTAGGGTATCAGGAAGCCTCCTCAAATGAAAGGTATTTCTTATGTCAAATTTACCAAAGTTCTTGAATTCCACCTTGAGCATTATTCTTTTGGGATAAAACAATGTGAATGACGTACTGTAAAAGGCAGTATCTACAAATGGCAAACACACATTTCCTTATTAACATTGAAATAAATTAATTTTTATTAGTTGTCAGGGAATTTTGAAAAGATCCATTTGTAAATGAGAAAGAAACCTTGAACTGATCCAGATTTCAAGCATAGACACAGATGGTGTGTGTATGTGCATGTGTATGAATACACATGCATTGCACTTGTGTGTGATACTTTTAAGGGCAAGTGAAGGCATTCAAGAACGGGGATGAGATCTATGGAATACAAAGATGGCATTCAAAGGACAAGTGAAAAGGAATAATACATACTATTTTTATGCTTTTTCCTGAATCTGTTTGTTTGGGACCAGTCCCAAGGCTTGAACTCAGAACCTGAGTACTGTCCCTGAGATTTATTCCTCTCAAAGTTAGCACTATAGTACTAGAGACATAC